CGGCGCTCCGAGGAGGTCCTCCTTGGAGGGTCGGCGCTCCGAGGAGGTGCTCCTTGGAGCGCCGGCCATGCACTGCCTCCAGGACCCCGCGGAACCATGGGAAAATGCAGGGAAATGCTTCCAAATGCGCAATTGCTTTCCACATTACGGCGAATTTACCTTAATTGTGAATTTACCTTAATTGCGCATTTGCATTTCCTCCAAACAACCGAATTTCAAAAGATCTCGGTTAACACCAGTTTCTGTCCACTGTCCACTTTCTGTGAAAACACGGGGCACTAATCCAGTTTCTGTTTGGGTTTTGTGTGGATTAACCAGCAGATTTGCCCCTGTGTGATAACGTCCATAGTCCACAAGGTTGCGAGTTCAATACTAGCCAGGACTCAGGTTTGACTCAGGCCTGCATCCTTCCAAGGTTGCTAAAATGAGTACTCAGCTGTTGGGGGGCAATGAGCTTACAGTTGTAAACTGCTTAGTCACTGCATAGTATATAAACGAAGCTACTTTGCATAATTTATATAATTTATTCTGACAGCAGAATTTATTTTCTTTTGGTGCAGGATTTGGATTTAGCTTGCATAATTCGGTTTGATAGTTTAATATTCCATGTTTATTCAAAAGGCAAGACTGCCTACAATTAATTCACCTTTGCAAATAAATGTCCCTGTGGTTGATGTTATGTCTGGTCCTAGCTCTGGAGGAAGTTTTTGAATGAAAAGTGTGCAGAATCCACGAAACAAAAAATTCCTGTTCATCTGCATTCCACAGAACATCTCTTTGGAGGATTTGGAGAGGCCCTTCTGTACCACATAGGATGGAGCATAGGACACTGTCATGTGAAGGAGGGGATGGGAAAATGTTTTTCTATGGACATCTGTAAGTCACCTTTTCTTAGGATGCATGCATAATGTAAAGTAGTTTCCATAGTAGCAGCTGAGTAGCAGGTTTTGGCTTGAACTTTAAAAGAGCTATCCAAGGTTCTGGACATATTTGAGGAATACCTTAATATCTTAGCTCATTTAAACTTTGGACCAAATCCTGGATTCACCACCCCACTGACATGGAACCCATCTGCTGCCAGGTTTTATTGCATTTCCTCAGCAAATCTTTGTGTCTGATCCCACATTGTGACCTTCTGTCTTTTTTTTGTGGGTTTTTCAGGCTATGTGGCCATGTTCTGGAAGAGTTTATTCCTGATGTTTCGCCAGCAGCTGTGGCCGGCAACTTCAGAGAACGCTGGCATGGAAGTCAGTGGGGTATTCCATTTTCTGAAGATGCCAGCCACAGCTGCTGGCAAAACGTCAGGAATAAACTCTTCCAGAACATGGCCATATAGCCTGAAAAACCCACAAAAAACTATGGATGCTGGCCATTGACTTCACATTCTCCAGAAAGGCTTTTTTGCCTGGGGTGAGGAGCAGGGAGTTGTGGCAGGATGTCTTCTACCGATGTATTCAAATCAAGGAAAACTTTCTGTTTGTTTATTTTGTGTATGGTTCCTACCAGCTGAATCATTTCATATTAGTCATATTGGAGTGTTTTAATTACATTAAGCAGCTCACAGTGGTCTTGCAAGCTGACACAGGAGCTGGATCAGACTTTTCCTTTTATTTTGAAGACATTTTGTTCTGATTTGCCTGTTTCTTCTATTTGAGAAGACAATTTGCAGTAGTCAATTTCATTCTTCCAGTACTTGCCGGCCATTCAAATGGCTCCTTTTTCTCTACATCTTCTAGTTCTGGTTCTCCCAGATTGATGCCCTCCAAATGTGTTGGACTGAAACTCTCACCATTACAGCTAACATGATCAGTGGTTCTGAGAATCTTGGGGGAATAGAGGTTTATCTGATAGCAGCATGAAGGCTGCTTCCTTCTCTTTTCAGTTGAAACAAACTTTTTATCAGTGATGATGTGACCATCTCCAAAAACCATCTCTATGCCAGTATACTGGGTGTAACTGGAGTTTGGAAAAGTTATACCTTTGGACAACAAATCCTAGAATTCCCGACAAACATTCCCAGCAGATATGGATCTCCAAGCAAGAGCATGAAAGAGGAAGAAAGCGATATGTGTAAAGGAAATGTCCATAAATCTTGTACTGCAGAAGCCTGCCTTCCCCAGTGCTTTTAATAGCTTTAGTATACTCAGGAATTGAAGTTTCGTCTCTTTTGTAGGGAGTGTATAGATTTTTGTGCATTCTCTAATTTCAGTTTTTGTTTTGAAATTGTATTTGTTGTAGACTCTACAAAATATAGCATTTCCCAGTTCTGTCATGATGGTCAAGGATTCTGGTTTTGATGAGGATGCTGGAAATGTAAGATACCTGTTCCTCCTCCCCCTTTGCAAAATACTTTATTTTTCAGATTCTCAGCGATGACAGAAATGGTTGTTAGTTCAATATAAGATTATAAGGCCTGAAACAAAGTAGTGGTGATTTTTTTTCTTCTCCGCCTTCCCCACCGTTTCCTTTGTCTCTACCTGCCAGTTCTTACCTGTGTTGTTGTGCTGGTGGCCTGCAGACGCATCTCTTCCATTTTCTCCTCATGCTGTCTCTGCTTCTCCTTATCTTCGTAGCGGTATCTAGTCATAGTTAGCTCCATGTCAAGGCGCATCTTCTCTAACTGGGGTGCCAAAGTGTCACGGCCCTCCTTTTTGTTGCACTGCTCTGTTTGAGCCCAGCCATCCACCTCACCCTCTGAGTTGGGCAGGCCAGGATGCAGATTGTCCAACCCTGCCTGTGGCTTTGTCCTAACATGTGCCTCTTCATCTCTGATATCTAGAGGGTCAGTCCCTTCATTAGGGGTACAGGGTGGCTCAGTCAGATCATCAGGAGCCGATGTTGGCTCTGTCACATTGTCACCAGCAGATGAGGCATTGTCAGGGTTGTCCTCCTAAAACAAGAAGGGACACCAAAAGAAGATACATCAGAGACATTTATCTGCATTAATTAAAAAACACACACACAGTGATTTCTCACAAACACCTTTTCCACATGCAAGCTACTCCCTGTGTTCATAGGACAGTTGACAAGTGGTTTTTTTTTAAAAAAAAAAATAATAGTTCTGCATTTTATTATTTATTTGATTTGTACCCAACCCTTTCTTCCAAGACTGGGGCTGAAGGTAGACCACAACAAGGTTAAAAAAAAACATATAAAATAAAAAAGTTAAAAATTTATAATGTTGAAACACAGGCTGGCACACTGTTAGTGAATTATGATGGCATAAGTTGTAAGCCACTTTTTTGACTGATGTGGAGGCAGAAATTCTTTAATGAAATCAGGCAATGACCCAGATTTCTACAACCCACCTTTTAGCTGCAGGATGCCCTCTTCATGGCCATTTAGTGATTAGTGGTGAGCCAAGGGCTTTGGGGAAGCATCTGGCTATGTCTCCGTAGCCAAACACAAAACAATGACAACTGCTGACACTGCCAGGGATCCTCTGAAGGTCTCAGCAGATGATCTCATTGTTTTATACTTAGGATCAAATATTGACTGGAATGGTGACTTCAGTCAAGAAATAATAAGAAGATTAGAAATGGGAGGGGCAGCTAGAGAGAACTAGAAAAGCTCCTGAAGAATAAAGGCATACAACTGAGCAAAAAAGTTAGAATCATCCAAGCCATCATATTCCCTATCACCATGTATTGCTGCTAGAGCTGGACAATAAAAGAAGCAGACAGAGGAAAAATCAATTAATTTGAGATGTGGTACTGGAGAAGATTGCTTGGGATACTGTGGACAGCCAAAAACACAAACAGATGGGTCTTGGAACAGATAAAGCCAGAGATCTCCTTAGAAGCCAAGATTATTAAATTGAGTCTGAGGTACTTTGTCCATATAATGAGAAGGCATGGATCACTGGAAAAGACAATAATGCTAGGAAAGGTAGAGGGTAGAAGAAGGCAAGGAAGACCGCATGCCAGATGGATGGACTCAATCAAGGGGGGCACAGGCATAGGCTTGCAGAAACTACCGTAAGTAGAGAAGTGGAAGATAGGGGTTCTTGGAGGTGTCTCATCCACAGGGTTGCCATGAGTCAAAATCGAATTGAAGGCAGATAACAACAAATCAGGCCAGAGCCAGACATTTGTCTGATCACACACCCTCATGCGACCAGCATTTAAATGTTCATAGGGGGGGCTCCTGCAGCCAAAAGATATGTTGGGAGAAGGGGAGAGGGAGGGGAAAGGTAGCATACTTTGTTATGTGGAACTTTTATACTCCATCTCTATGATGCAAGATCTCAACCACAATTAAATTATAATGCTAAAACTCATTTGAATTAAAAGCAAATTACAGTAGGCCCTATGTATGCATAGATTCTGCATGAATGGATTCAACTATCCACAGCTGAAAATATTTTCTTAAAAATGTAAGTTCCAAAAAGCAAACCTTGATTTTGCCATTGTATATAAGGAACACCGTTTTACTACACCACTGTATATAATGAGACTTGAGCATTCACAGAGTTTGGTATCCACAGGAGGTCCTGGAACCAAAACCCAGCAGATACCAAGGGCCTACTGTAATTCTGTAGTGTGAATGGGTGCCTGGTGAAGCAGGAGTTCAGCAACTGAGAACACAACAGAGAATACAAGAATTTATTAATGTCATTTGACTTGTCATTTGACTTAGCGATTGATGGTCTAGTCTAGCTGGGACTAGCAATTGGACTTAGACTAGAGAGTTCAGACAAAGCTAAAACCATGCTAACAGTCTTTTTTTATTTTTTGAGGCAGGGGAGTGGGTACTCTAGTCTGAAGGGATCTGAAGTTAGGTGAATGGGTGATTTTTTTTAAAAACTTTTTTTGGTTCTAATGTTAATCACTTTGCACCTTGATACCTATTCTACAAGTTTGAAGAGATCCTTTGGAGTTCTTTGCAATCCTTTCTGCTGTTTGCTTTAACCACTCTAAATAATTTGCTGCACTCACAGCATCCTTGACCACATCCAATATCACTGGTCCCAGTGCAGAAGTTTGGGCAATGTTAGTTGACAATTCCATGCTGCTTGGCCAGTGATACCTGCATCTAATTTGGCCCTGAGATATCCAATCATACAAACTAGATGCAGTGGTATTCATACATGATTAGTAACCACACTTTTACTAATTACGTACAAATAGCACTGCATTTTGTGTTCAACCCTCATGTACCAGGAAGGGACATTTTAAACTTCCAGAAGTATATTTTGCTGCAGAATCCACACAGAATTAGACATACAATGTGGCTATTCTGTGACATTGTCTTTTCCACATTTGTAAAAAAAAAGTCCCCAAGCTTCAGCATCTTACCATGCACCATTTTCCCCCTAAGGGAGGAAAAAAACAAAAAACAGTTGGAGCAAAACTGTCCCAACAAGTCTACTGTGGGTACTCTTTTTATCCCAGCCACTGTGATGTATTGGGATGAAAAATGTCCCATGCTATTTTTTTTTTTTTTTTTGGTGAAATACAATGCAGTAAACCAGAATTGACACGTGTTAGCCCCATTCAGGGGATTGAATTGGCTGGACCTTGGAATTCTTCTGGGAAGTCTTAAAACCAAACCCTGACCACATCCCTGTAGGGGGGGGAAAGGCTTTATTCCTTTGTCCCACTGTGGTCCTAGCCTGAATTTAGGACATTGTACTGGTTCTTTGCATGGAGGTGTGATATCCCATTGTAAGCTGCTCTAAGGTTTCTGAAGTATGAGCAGGTTGGAATGATAATTCATGATTCTTACCATAAGGAATTTAGGCTCAAGGTAGTGGGAGTATGAATAGGAACAAGGTTGAACACCAAACCAGGTATCCTTTCGTTTAACCAGGCTCTCACTTTCCCATGATGCACCTCTCTAGTGATTGTCACAGCCAGTACGTGTTGCACAAAAAGCAAAAACCGACTTCCAGAACTAACTATCAAGATGACATCACTGATTCCACTCTGTGACATCGTACCTTGACTGCTGTTACAAGTGGCTCAGAGCATCCATATCCCACAGACCTTGGCATGATAGCCCAGCGACCCATGAAATGTTGACTAACTGCCTAACATTTGACTATGATTCACTATTGTCAAATACTCCAAGAATAACACTGCAAGGATGACAATTTATCTTTTTTCAAGAAGAGTCATTTAGTGTTATGGGTTAGCAAGAGTAGAAGCATGTCTTGGAAAATTTAATTTTGGGGATTACAAATCCAATTACAAATTAACTGAGGGATTTTGGGAGTTGTAGTCCAAAAAAAGGTTTTCTTAACTCTGGGGTGGGTGGGAAGTCAGTTTACTACCCCCTAGCCTTGCAGCAGTCAGGTGCATTGTTGTTGTTGTTGTTGTTGTTGTTGTTGTGTTGTTGTGTTCAAGCTGTTTCCAACTTATTGCTATCGTAAGGTGAACCTATCATGGGATTTTCTGGCGCTGAGAGTATGCGATTCACCCAAGTCATCCAATGGGTTTTTATAGCCGAGTGAGGAATTGAGTCCTGGCCTCCAGAGTCTTAGCCGTACTGTCAAATGAATGCAGTTTGACACCGCTTTAACTGTCATGATTCTGTCCTGTGGAGTCCTGGGATTTGTAGTTTGTTGTGGCACCAGAGCTCTTTGACAGAGAAGGCCAAATATCTACAAATCCTAGAATGCCATAACATTGAGCCGTGGTGGTTAAAGTGATGTCAAACTGCAATAATTCTTCAGTGTACATGCAGCTATAGTCCAATGCCCAAACCACTACAGCATACTGGCTCCCAGGTGCACACCAGAGAGCAGATCAAAGCTGCTTTCCTTGGCTACTTCCTATAACTCAGTATGGGAAATTGCAGCAAGCTCAGCCTCAATTTTCTTGGTTGGGACCCTCCAGAAGGTCTTCATGGACTGCCAAAATCCCCAGCTCCTCTGCCTCCAAAGAACACTTCTGATTTTGAAAAATAAGTTTTTAATAGAGTTGTCAGGTCAGGAGGACTATCTCAGGCCCTGAGAGTTCAGGCCCCAAATCAGAGAGCACTGGAAATTAGGAAACAGCTCTGTGGCAGAGGTGGTTTGAGACTGATCATCTAAAAAAGACACAATGGAAGAAGAATGCAGAGATGGGTTTGAAAAGGAAAGTAAGGTATTGCAAGAACCTGTGTAGTGGTTTAAGCACTGGACTACAGCTCTGGAGTTGGGGTTCAAATCCCCACTTGTCCATGGAAATCCACTGGGGACCTTAAGCAAGTCATACACTCTCAGCCTCAGAGAGAGGCAAAGACAACCCCACCCTGAACAAATCCTTCCAAGAAAACCCTGTGATAGGTTCATCTTAGGTTCTCTGTAAACTGGAAATGGCACGAACTATCACAACAGCAGCAACAAGGTTCCTCATTACAGCTAGATGTAGTAGTCCCTGGGGGGACCAACTCTCAGGACGGCTGAAGGTGTCTGTCTCCTTCCCTCTCTTTTCTTCTCATCTACAGCCTGGTAGAATCACTCTTAGTAACACAATGGCCATTGTATGTACTTTCTATATCTTTTTCCCTTCTGATCCCACAGTTCAGTTCCCCCCTTTACCATATGTGGTGTGGTTATGTATACCTTTAAGTCGGAATAATACTTTATATGCATGTGATGAAGTAAACAGTAGTCCATGAAATAAATTAACCAGTCTTTAAGGTGCCACAAGACTCTTTGTTCTCATGGTCTCTTTGTGATCTGTAGGCACAAAGTGACCAGCTGTACATATAATGGGCAGAGTCTGTATCTTGAAAGGCATTGGTTGTCTTTTCCCTTCAATACAGACAGACTGCCGTGAAGACAAAAGCTCCCCTTGTTGAGAGAGGCAGCCCTTGGCATACTGAATGTCTCCACTTACTTCATATTTATCTGGTTTTCTCTTCTGCTGCTCTCTCTGTGTTAACAATGCCTTGCTTTATGTTCCAAGTCACAAGTGAGCAACGTGGCTTTCCACCCCTTCTTCTTCCCCTCTCTGTTGCTAACATCTATCCCAATAAGCCTAGCTTTTTTCACCAAGGGAAAAAAGAAAAGAAAAAGAAAATGTTGTTGAATGGTGAATGCTGAAAGGGAGAGGCTGTTGGGTGGGTTGATGTCCCACTTTGTCTGATGTGCAAATACGTGAATAACTGTTCGTTGATTTATGAAATTCCTGAATGAAAAACCTCTTTTAAAATGTGTTTTGACCTTGCTAGAAACATTTGCAGAGAAGAAAAGTCAATGTTTACTTAGGAGTGGAACTTGACAGAGTTACCTTTTTGGACTACAGTTCCCAGAAGCCATGGATGGAATTGTCTATGCAGCCATGCTGACTAAGGATTCTGGAATTTGTAATTCAAAACTGTAACCCAGTGGCAGCTGATGGTTTCCATATCAATGGGCTGGTGAATCCACTTGGGCCTTTATTCTGAATGTCAAATGACCTATCCAAGGTGCTGAATGCTATCCTCAAAATAAACTCATTACCTTGGATAACACCTTTAAATTCCAGAGCAAAACCCAAAGAAGATGCACTGTGCCACTGACTTGAGAGCAACCAGCTGCCATTGCCCAAAAAAGTAACTTTCCTAAGCTCTGTGTAAGAACACTGAAAGCTGCCTTATGCTAGGTCATATCACTGGCTTTTCTTGCTCAGAATTGTCTTCTACTTAGTCTGTCAGCCTTTCAGCATTCTAGGATGTTAGGATATTTTCCATAGTCCTCTCTGGAGATTCCAGTGACTGAATCTCAGACCATTGTCTTGCAATGTATCAGTGGATGCTTTCAAATATCTCTTTGCAACAGCACCACAAATTGCCCAAAAGGTATGATCTGTGTTCATGTTTTCCTACACTTCCAGAAGTTTTGAAAGTGGTTCCCCCTATTTTTTCCCCAATGAAGCGACGAGCATGCAATACTTGAAAAAAAGGTGGAGACACAAGATATACACTGTTTGATAGATGTTTCCAGAGCAATCTCCCCCCACCACCCACTGCAAAAAACAAACCCCCCAAAACCTGGCTACAGTTGGTTTTGCAGTCAATTGCAATCAAAGTGGCAACTCCGTTGATGCATAAGAAACTAGGGCAGGGGTGAGTGGGCAGCCTAATTTCATGTGGCCCTTGGCAGAAGATCAAAAGCTTTTTGCAAATAATTCATTCAGACCTTGGGCAAGATTGAGCTCCCTCTTTCTGAACAACTCCAGAATGGCAGAAAGAGAATGGGAAGGGGTTGTCAGAGAAAGAGAGAGAGATTGCTGGAGAAGGAGTCACATTAGGTAATACAGTTGGCCCTCCATATCCATGGATTTTTTATCCATGGATTCCTCCATTAACAGCTTGATAATATTCCGTGTGTGTGTGTTCCAAAAACAAACCTTGATTTTTGCCATTTTATATAAGTGGCATCATTTTATTATGTCATTGTATATAATGGGACTTGACTATCCACAGATTTTGGTATCTGGTGGAGCAGATACCAAGGGCCCACTGTACAGTTAGACTGAAATTGGGCCTCCCCCGGCCTTAGGGTCAGAGCTGGAGAAAAACACATGATTGTTTTAGATTATAGTTCCCAGAAGATTCTGAGAGCTGTAGTTGAAAATGGCCACTTCACCCCAGCTCTGGCAAGAGCTGTATGAAGCCCTTGCACTAACTTAAAAAGTCCTTCACAAAGGATTAGTTTAGACTTCTGAAAAGAGCAAGTTGTCCATCCTTGACAGTCATCTGAGAAGGGAGCAGGAGTAGAGGAGAGGAGGTGGTGGGGGGGAAAAAGACAGAGAGCTAAGGGAGTGAAGTTTCTGGTCCCACCTAATTTTGGCTTTGTTCCCATCCAGTGCTGCCTAGCATTCAGTACTGGACTAGCCATGAAAACAGGGCCAGATCATCAGTGGTTCAATTGGCACAATTGCTCCTGACCTCCAACTGGCTTGCAGACCAGTGCAGAAGTGAAAGGGTGAAGTATGCTTTCTTTTTTTCTCCACATGCACACACATGCATCAAGTTATGTTTAGGTGGATGGGGAAGCAATGACC